TAGTATTTTCATATTTATAAAGCATTTTATTTACAAGTACCCTATAAAGTAATGTTAATATTAGTAATTATTAAACATCAATCAAGATGAATCAAATCTTTATACATATTGAACACACTTAATTCCTTTTTTTTTGATACTTGTAACTTGGTTTTCTTTTTTTAATAGAATTAGCCAATGGTTTATCTGTTTTATTGTTTTTTTCCCCATTTTGGCATCTAATTGGAGGGCTATTAATTTGTTATTTTTCTAGTTTCTTTATTTGCATATCCAATGCATCAATCTGCTCTTTCACTCTTTTATTGATGTAATAAGCATTAAAAGATATAAATTTTCTTCTAAGTACTGCTTTGGCTGCGTCCTACAAATTTTGGTATGTTGTTTCATTGTTGTCATTATATTTAGTGAAATCATTGTTTGTTCCTATGATTTGTTCTTTGATCCACTCATTCTTTAGGATTAGGATATTTCTTTTCCAATTAATTTTAATTTTATATTTCAGAATTCCTTTGTTGAGTATAATTGTTATTGTGTTATCATATGAAAAAGATGCATTTAGTATTTCTGCTTTTCTGCATTTGTTTATGAAGCTTTTATGTCCTAATATGTCTTCAGTTTTTATGAAGGTGCTACACATAGCTGAGAATAGGTGTACTTCTTTCTGTTCACATTGTGTTCTCCAGAGGGTTGTCCTGTCAAACTTTTCTCAAATTCTGTTCATCTCCTTAACTTCTTCCTTGTTTATTTTTGGTTAGATCCAAGTCTCAGGGGAATAAGTTAAGGTTCCCCACTAATATGGTTTTGCTGTCTGTTTCCTCTTGTAACTCATTTTACTTTTCCTTCAAGAATTTGGATGCTATTCCATTTAGTGCATATATGTTCAGTATTGATATTAATTTGTTGTGTATGGTACCTTTTAGTAAAATGTAGTTTCCCTGATTTTCTCTTTTAATTAAGTCTATTTTTGCTTTTTCTTTGTCTGAGGTCATGATTACTGTGCCTGCCTTTTTTATTTCGGATGAAGTGTAATAGATTCTGCTCTAACCCATTATTTTAACTGTGTGTATGTGTTTCTTGTAAACAATATATTATTGGATTCTGGTTTCTAATCCATTCTACTATCCTTTTCCATTTTATGGTTGATTCATCCTTTCGCATTTACATTAATGATTGTTAACTGTATATTTCCCTCCATACTATTGTTTTATACTTTGTCCCCTCCTCAAGAGGCTGTTTTGCTTCTGACCACTGCCTCCTTTAATCTATTCTCCCTTATAACTGTCACCACCACCTTTCTGTTAACCCATTTCCCTTCTATTTCCCTATTGAGAAAAATGAATTTCCATACCCAACTATATATATATATTCTTCCTTCCCTGAACTAGTTCAAGTAAGAGTGAAGTTAAAGTGTTGACTGTTCCCCCCTGCATAAACTCTTTCCCCTTCTGTTGCATAAATTCTTGCATGCCCTATTTATGAGATAATTTTCCCCATTATTCTTTTCCTTTACCCCCTTTCCCAGTGCATCCCTCCTTCTCACCCTTCCTTTCTTCTTCTGATATCATCCCAATATAATAGAATAACACCTATGCCCTTTTTCTAAGTAGATTCCCTCTAACAGCCCTAGTGTTGAAAAACTTCTGAGCAGTTATCTTTCTACGTAGGAATGTATACAGTTTAATCTTGTTTAGGCCTTCATGATTTCTCACTCATATTTACCTTTCTGTGTTTCTTGTGTCTTATGTTTGAATTTAAATTTTTATATTCTACCCTAGTCTTTTCATCAGGAATGCTTAAAAGTCATCCATTTCATTAAATATCCATTTTCTCCCCCTGTAGGATTATACTTAGTTTTGCTGCATAGGTTATTCTTGGTTGTAATCCTAGCTCCTTTGCCTTCTGGAATATCATATTCTAAGCCCACCTTCCTTTTTTGTAGTAGCTGCTGAGTCTTGTATGATCCTGAATGTGACTTCTCAGTATATTATTTCTTTCTGGCTGTTGGCAGTATTTTCTCTTTGACCTTAGGAGTTCTGAATTTTGGCTGTAATATTCCTGGGAGTTTTCATTTTGGTTTTTCTTTCAAGAGGTGTCCAGTGGATTCTTTCATTTTCTACTTTGCCCTCTGATTCTAATTTATCTGGGCAGTTTTCCTTTATAATTCCTTGAAATATGACGTCTAGGCTCTTTTTTGTTCATGACTTTCAGGTAGTCAAGTAATTCTTAAAATTATCTCCCCCTGATCTGTTTTCCAATTTAGTTTATTTTCCCTAAGAGATATTTCACATTTTTCCTATTTTTTCTTCAGTTTTTTAAACTTTGTTTCATTAATATTGTTGATTCATTGATGTCTCAGTCATTAGCTTCTACTTGGCCAATTCTAATTCTTAAGTAGTGATTTTTTTCATTGAGGTTTTATGCCTCTTTTACCATTTGGCCAATTCTGATTTTTAAGAAATTATTTTCTTCAGTGTTTTTTGGCATCTCTTTTACCAAGCTGTTAATTCTCATTTCATAATTTTCTTACATATCTCTCATTTCTTTCCCCAGTTTATCTCCTACCATTCTTATTTGATTTTTAAAATCTTTTTTATTTCTGCTCTTTTTAAAAATCTCTTTCATTCTTCTAGGAATTCTTGTTGGACTTGTATTCAATCTGCATTTTTCCTTTGAGGCTTTGTTTGTAGGTATTTTCAAGTGATTGTCTTCTTCTGTCTTATGTCTTGAGCTTCCCTGAAACTATAGTAGCTTTTTATGGTCAGGTTCCTTTTTCGTTTGCTCATTTTTCCAGCCTTACTTATTGACTTTGGACTTTATATTGGTGTGGGGCTCTGCTCACTGTTGGCAGGGGGATGTCTGGCCTGACTTTGTCTTATATATCCATGTACTGCTTTCACAATTTAGTCTGTGGACCTGTAAGTTTTTGGTTCTTCTGAGACAGTATGATTCAGAAAGAGGTCTATTTACCTCCTGGTCTGCACTTCGCAAATTCCTGAACAGTTTAGGTCTTTTGGCTTGTGTGTTTTTTGAGTTTTCATAGACTGCTGTTACACTCAGTCACAGTTAGCCCACTGGGATGTTCTATAGATTCAGAGTGACTAAACTGCTTGCTCTCCCTTAGTTTTGGTCTCCTGCCCTGGTTTATTCTACTTCAAGCTTATATGTGGGACTAAAGGTTAAAACTTACCCTTCTCCCCCCTTTCTCCCCTCACCCCTCTCCACTCCCTATTTCCTCAACTATATTTCCAGAACTTGTTCCTTGCTGCACAAATAGGCCCTTGCTCCCTCACAATCACAACTGTTCTCTCTGTCCTAGAATTGTAATCCAGGACTACGTAATAGGCAACAAAGTTGCCAGGTGGCACCTCTTCCTGATCCTAGTACTGGTAGAGAGGTCCAATAGTATCTCTTTCTGTCCCAGTGTATAATCCCTTTACCATCCCTGGCATTGGGCTGCTCCTGACCAGCCTCTACCAGTGCCCTCAGATTTCTGTTTCACTAACCTGTCCTTGGCTTTCCCAGTCAGAATTTGGTTTGCTGCACTTTTGAGGTCTTTGTGGAAGAGATTGTGAAAGAGCTGGGGCGAAATTGCTACGTCTTAATCCACCATCTTAACTCTGCCCCTGAACACACCTAATTCGTAAGGCAACACCATATTACCTAAACCCCAGCTGTCTGCCTTGAATCTAACAGAGATGTTTTCAGAGAATTAGTTTTTTTTTTGTAAAAAAAAATTTTAAACACATAGCTTTATGTGGTAGTTATGAACACTGAACATAAATAAAGATTTTGACTTTACCATCTCTCACAGGATTCTGCTTTGTTCACTGATTATCAATAAAACATATCCAGTTATGGGCTTAATAGAATCATGTGTGCTTTTTAAGTTGGAGCTTATACGTTCTCATGTTGCTATAGAGAAGCATCAGGATATTGCTAACAAATATGAGAACTTTCAAATATTAGATAAATTGCTAAAGTTTTCAGAGGAAGTAGAAAGAGGAAAGACTCAGAAATTGAAAGAAAAAGGAGATACAGTCATCCTAGAAGGAAGAGCTTATCTTGGATAGTGAGGAAGTCCACGTTAAAGTAACCTATTATTGTAAAAGAAAAGAACCTTATTTAAGATAATTCTGTTAGATTTGAATTAATAAAATTATGAGATTAAGAAAGTATGTTTTCCCTTTCGTAAAAAGGACTAGAGAAAAAAAAAACCATTAGCTATAATATTAAATGTAAGTGGACTAAATGGCCCAATAAAAGGAAAGAATTGCAGAGTGGCTCACATCAGAATTCAACAGTGTATCACTTATAGGAAATAGTTAA